GTAATGTATGTTAACATTAGGAGATATTTGGGTTTCTTCCTGCAATAGGTGTTAGTGGAGAGATGAGGCAATTCAATTAGCAGTAGTTTTTCTGTCTTTCTTGGGATGAGAGGCAGCTTTTAATGAGATTGATTCTCCCAAAGTCAAATAAACTAATAATGGCAGTTAAGGCACCAGTGGACAAAAGAACATTTGGCTATAGCTATCTTTCTGCTTGGTAAAAACATCTTGTTTGAGGTGGGTTTATCCTTTGCTCTAAGTCATAAAAACCCCCTTCTAACTAACATACCCTTTGCCTCCTTGGATATCCAGTAAGACTAGTGACAGCTACAATGGAAATGTCTCGTTCGCTCCTGGTTTGCATATAATTACATCTGAGATGCAATATGTTTATGGCAGGAGAAAAACTACTTGTCTTTACGCTTGTTAAGGATATTCATTTAACCGCGATACAGCGCGGTTTAAAAGCTCTTTAGGGCGGATGGAATATTCCCCTCGCCGCCGGCTCGCAGCTCAGCGCGAGGAGACTTTTGTTGCTGTTATCGCGGGTTTGTTCTGCCTTTTCCTCGCATCCTCGGTGTAAGGGACGAGGGGAATCCACGGAGCCACGGACCTGCCACTCCTGGGGCCGTTGCTGAAGCTTCACCTGCCCCTGCCCCGCCGCAAATCTGCCGGTACCAGCGGGCACCCGCGGGGCACCGCGGTTTCCTCCTCGCCGGGGCCCGGCCCGCGCGTTCTCTCCCCGGCGAGGCTCCCCGGGCCGGGGCAGCCTGCAGCCCGGGGGTCCCGGGCCAGCGCAGCACCGCGGGAAGCCTGGCAGGGGGCTCTGGGCACGGAGGGACCCGCAACGCTTTCCAGGGGGTCTTACTTTTGTGTAGCTCTTAAGTTCCAAAAACACGCAAAAGGACAAAACAAAACAAAACAAAACAAAACAAAACAAAACAAAACAAAAAGGTGGGAGAGCTGCACAATATTTGTTCTTGACGTAAAGCAAGGGGGGGTCTTTCTCCGCCTTCCCCTCGCGTCGGGAGCACGGAGGGAAAAGGGAGCCTGGAGACTTCTTTTCCGGTTGCTGTTGTTTTCACGTTTACAACTGAGATAGATTTTAAATGGAAGAGAGGGCACCAAAGAATGTGGCCAATCACCAATACACTCACTTCGTGCTGTGAGACAGGATTAAGAGAAAGGCAAAGCAGGCTCAAAGCTTTAAAAGAGTACAAAGAAAATTTTATTAGAAGTAACTAGAAGGGAAAAAATTTAGGAAGAATCAAAACAAACCCTTCAGAACACTTTTCCTCCCCCCACAACCTTTTCTTTCCCACTGACAATGTAAAGAAACCAAACCTAAGATTTCCAGTCAGTTTATCACCTCTAAAATAGTCTTTGTTCAGTTCACTGAGGGAGAGAAGTCCCTCTTGTTAAGGTTATGGAGACTTTACATGCTTGCATATTGTTCCTTTCTCTAAGTCGAGGGAGGATTGAAGCACTGAAAGGGTTCATAACATCACGCCTGAGCTCTACCTGACCCGCTGGTACCTTGTGGCAGGAGCTGCGGCTGGGAAGAGTCGGGATCGCCCGCATGCTTGGTTTTCTTTGGTTTTCTGCACAGGCTGCAGGGGTCTCTGGTCTCAGCCGCGCTGCGGGAGCGGGTCTGATTGCAAGATCTTCACAACCGCAGCCAGCCCTGCTCCGGCCGGGCTCGGCAGCCTCCCCCCATTCCTGCCCGGCAGCTGCTGGGGCCCGGCCCCGCCCGACCGGAGCAGCCTGGCGGGGGGAAAGGGCCCGGGGCCCGCCGCCTCCTCACCGACGGCACAGAAAGAGACAGTTCCCGCGTTTTTTCGTCTTTAACATGTGTGCTTCAGACAGGTGTGTCCAGCTTCTCAGTGCTTCAACAGGCACAGTTAAGTCAGTTACACAAAAAAGCTCTGCATCACTTCCCTGCATTTCCTCCCATTCCAAACCAGGACAGACACCTTCTTCCACATCGAGGCAAAATCTACTGAAACCATAGTTTTCATCAGAATTTGATAGGATACATTGCTAGTTCTCATTATTCACACTAACAACGACCATTGTTCTGTAGAAAAGAGGAAGAGCAAAGCAGTGCTTGTGGTATTTGATTCAAGTCTGGAAAGATTCTGTCCAAGTCAAAGCACCTGGAATGTATATATTGAGGAGCCAGACTGTGGGAATCCTTAAAATTAGAGGGTTTTGCAAAAGCTACAAAAGGCAGGCCTCAGAGACAGCAGAACTGCAATTGGAGCTAAGTGGTAGCCATAAGATTCATCAACAGAAAAATTATATAAGAAGTAGAAAAGGACAAATAGAACAAAGGTCTGTTATGAATGAGGTCCCAATTTGTCCGATTCAATAAACCACACATTTAAAATTTAGCAGCAGTTTTAATCAAGATAATTGAGATTAAATAATAATTGAGATGAGATAATACAATCAGATATAATTCAATAATTACAGAAAAGAAATTTGGCAATGGTTCAGATAAAGCATAAGCGAAAACCAGTCAATTGGGATATGGGGAGGGCCTCCTACCCTGCCTCCTGTATAAAGGCAAAAGAATCCAAACACAGCTTATATACTGTATGCTACATACAGTATTCATTACTAGTTTCCCATAAATCTCCTCCAATTTCCAATTCTTGAGATCTACGTCACTCTACTGCACGGCGCATGCTCCCATTGTTGCTATGGGGTCTTCTGGTCTCCTCAGGGGTCTTCTTGGAGGAAGGTCGAAATCTTCCTCATATGTCCTTTGGATGACCTGGCAGGTGGCGCATGTGCATGAAGCTTAGTGTTATATAACTAAGGACTGTTCCAATTAAACCTTATTTACTTCATAGATAAGACCACTGTTTTAGGCTCCCTATCTGGAATTGTCCCAACTTTATTCAGATTCAAGGTCGGTTTTACTCTGGGAGTTTGTCTTCAACTTCAACTGATGCCAATTTTGGTTGGGGAGTCTTCCCTGACTTTCTCCATTTCCAAGGCCGAATCCAATTTCCTGTATCCTAGTATCCTGTTTCCCACATATATTCTCTACGAAGAAATTCATCTGCTTCATAACACTAATCTATTTTCCAATTACTTTCTCAAATTATTGATATCACTACAATTTTATTAGCATGAATCCCATCCATTTATAACAGGTCTGCGTATTAACACTTGTCTAGAATAACTCCCTAAGCTACAGAAAAGTCTATCTAGAGAGATACTGGGAAGTTCTAAGCTTAATAATGGAGCTCTGTGCATTGCATCTTAAGGCTTACAAACAGGTATTGTATTCCAAATAAGCAAGCATTGTTTTAACCAAAGGTTCGTGTGCTTATAGTGGATGGATGGAACTACTGTCAATATGCTTTAGCTTTGTGTGATTGGCCAAAAAACTTTTAAAGTAAGTTGTAACATTAAGTTCTTTGTCTGCTGCTGGAAATGGGAGCTGCTGGCATCTTCCCATTGTCGTAAACATGGAATGAGACTGATGCTGGAAAATAAAACAGCTTGAGATGCCTTCCCCAGCAGTCCTGTTCCATTTGTGATTTGTACTTATGTCGCGGTGCAGGGGCTACGTGCCCCCAGCCCGGTGGCGGTGACAACAGGGGCGCGACAGATCCCCCTGGCAGACCCTGCACAATTCCAGCTGCTAGCGGAGGTTCGGCGCAGATGAACAAAGAGGCAGCAGCACGGGTCCTGGGGTCAGAACAGGGGTAGCTTTATTCTGCAACACAACTCCCCGAATCCAAGATCCCAAGACCCTGAGCCAAGGGCAGGCACTAACCTATAAACAGGGGCGGTCTTGGAGGAGGATACAATTTTTGACCAATTGGGAGGACTGAGGGTGGAACACAAGGTGGGGAAATACAATCTGTAAACCAACAGAAGATCTTAAGGGAGGGGAAAGGCTTAAATAAACCAATGGGCTTTCAAAGGATACAAAACTGACACAGAAGGTTCTGGAGGGAAGGGGTTTAGGGAAGGATTGACATCTGAGGAGGGGAGGAGCAGGGAAGGTTTTGGGGAAAAAGGGTAGGGACAAAAGGGATTGACAACTTAGCAGGGAGTGGCCAGGCAACAAACAAGAACTTGCAACACAACTCCCCGAATCCAAGATCCCAAGACCCTGAGCCAAGGGCAGGCACTAACCTATAAACAGGGGCGGTCTTGGAGGAGGATACAATTTTTGACCAATTGGGAGGACTGAGGGTGGAACACAAGGTGGGGAAATACAATCTGTAAACCAACAGAAGATCTTAAGGGAGGGGAAAGGCTTAAATAAACCAATGGGCTTTCAAAGGATACAAAACTGACACAGAAGGTTCTGGAGGAGGGAAGGGGTTTAGGGAAGGATTGACATCTGAGGAGGGGAGGAGCAGGGAAGGTTTTGGGGAAAAAGGGTAGGGACAAAAGGGATTGACAACTTAGCAGGGAGTGGCCAGGCAACAAACAAGAACTGACAGTTAACCGAGCTGAATAACAATAAGGGAGTGAGTCTAAATTTAGCAACATAAGATACAAAATGGGGAACCTGTGCCACTCCAAAGGCAGGGGGAGAAAACACAGAGGGACCAAAACCCCACAATCAAACAGTAAAATATACCAGATAAAGAAAATGGAAACACACCACAACATACATAGACCCCTGGCCAGCAGCACCAGAGTATCATCTGACATGTACAATATTCGTGGTCTGAAACCCACATCATGTCTCCTGATGCAACTGGCTGGAAAACATGGGAAATGTGATCCTTTTTACACACTGCCTCTGAACTATGTGGTTTTAAGGTTATCTGTATAGAAATTATAATTTAAGAAGTTAATTAAAGCTTTTTGCAATACAATTTCAAAAGTAGTTCTTTCCTTTTTTCATGGGGAGAGGATGTGCTAATTGATAGAAAACCAGGAGGCATAGTAGTAAACTGTTACCTGGTGAACAAAAATAGTCTTAAGAAACAGCTATTCGTCATTCTGTGGGAAAACTGATCCTATGTAATACTGAACACTGCTGTTGGAATTGAGAACCTGTTGATTTACAAATGGTGACCTACACTCCACAGATACCTCTGGGAGTCTCCCTGCTGGAGGAAGACGATGCACACAACCCTGGTGCACCTCCCCTCTGGTGCTCCCTCTCTGTGTGCACAGCCCTGGAGTCAGCAGACACCTGTGAGGCTGCAGCAGCCTGCTGCGACCCTGCCTGGGTGAGTGAGCTCTGCACAGCTCCAGGGATGGAGATTGTACAGCCTGTCAGGAACATCTGCTCCGCTTTTGGGCTCACCTCATGGTGAAGAGGACTTTTTTCTTGCATCTCCTGAAAACGTCCGTGCTGCTGCTGTGTCCACTGCCTCAAGAAGAGTTCTGGTATCGTCCTCTCTCTGACTCCCCAGGAGAAGAAAGCAGCCAAACCCCTGGCAGCCTTCCAGCTGAGCAAGCCCACCTCTCTCAGCCCGTCTGCTCACCACCCACGCGCTGCAGCCCCGTGACTGCGCTCACGGCTCTCTGCTAAACTCTGGCCAGAGCAGCGCTGTCAGCGCGGCACTCCAGAGTCACTGACTGGTGCCCCAGAGCTGGTCTCACAAATAGCAAACACTGAGCAAGAACCCTTTCCCTGGGCTGTGCACGTGAAGAAGCGGCGCCTCTTGGCAGCTCCAGCTTTGAAAAGGTCACTGCCAACCTCACAAAAGAAAAGCACCCAAACTTCCTCTGTACTGATATGCTGACTTACTTTATCAATTCCAGGCATCAGCCTACAGATGACTTCCACCTTCTCTGGCTGAAGACCCACTTCTTCTTTAGCTTCTCGGAGAGCAGTGTCAATGTCATCTTTATCAGTGGCTTCCCTTTTCCCTCCTGGAAAACACACTTCCCCTGGTGATCTTCTCAGCTGGAATGTAAAGGAGTACTGCTGTTAAATATAACAAGGTTTATGTTTCTTATTGGATCCACACAGATGCATGTTGGTATTGCAGCATCCCTTTATCTTTCCAGTCAAAGAAGCTGGAAATGGTGGTTAAGGTTTCTGCAGACCAGAAGAAATGTGCCTTAGCAAGAGCAGCTACCTAAGAAAACTCTGAGGCTATCCCCTGCTAATCCATAAACCCTCACTCTATAGAAAATACACTGTAGCTGTACAGCAGTGTGTAATCCATACTGGAACTTCTGCTTGAGTATGTCGAAGTTTACATTTTGCATCATCTTGTTTGCATAAATGACTGACAGATGAATCCAGACAGACAACTTGTAGAGCAAGATTAAAATACTCTAAGAGCAAAAACTTTTGAAATACACAATTAAATAATGTACCTGTGAGAGAGGAAATAACATTTTGCTTCAGTCCAAAAAGGTTACGGAGCAAAAGAATGAAAATGGCTGGTTCTGTTTCCTATTTGTTGTTATCTGTAGTTAGGATGTGTTTTGTTTAATTGGTTGGGTGTTGTTGAGAACTGGGAGAGGGGCAGGGTTGAAGACATGACCAGAACAGGAAGAAGGATGAGAAGGGAAGGGACAGAAGAGTTGGTGGTCGGGAGAGAGCCTGAGTTCCTGAGTAGCCATTCAATGGGAAAGGGGACAGGGATCACCCCCAGCCTCGAAAGGCTATGAAAGATTGCCATTTGCTTAAAATACATGTGTGTGTGTGTTTTCATCTCTTGGGAATGCTACAGATAAATAATGAGATGATTGGCTCTTGCAATTAAGGGATGAATGTTGTGTGTATACTAAGATAAGCTTTATTGATGTATAGTTATGTTATTGGCTTAGATGTTCTCTGTTCTCCCCACGGTCCCCTTTCCGCCCCCACCTCCGAACTGTTCCCACCAGACAGCCTGGGTTCTAGGACAGGTGGAAAGAAGAGGGGTCTAAACTGTAAACTGTAACCTCTAAACTGTACCAAAAAGTGAATTGTATCTAAGATATCTTTAAGTACAATCCAGGAGTAGGCTTGTGCACCAAAGATCAGTAAAAAAAAACACTTACAATCAGTGTATTGTCTGTATAAATGTGATTGTTCATTGTTTTAAGCAAGACCCAGCAACAGAAAAAAAGTAATTCCTGAGTACAGGCAGCTGATGTGAGGCAGGTATGGAAAACAAGAGTTGTAAAAAGAAGTAAAATGCCAGTGAAATAGTTCCGAGAACCTTAGGTTTTTGCCTTTTATGTATTAAAGGGAGAAAAGACTGGAAGACTGAAAAATCACATTTAAAAAAGCTGCACTGCAGTGTCAATTTCTTTATGTAGGTAAATGTGAGAAATGCCATTCACTTGTGTAAAAATTTTAGAAGTTTAATAGTAATGAAAATAGTAATAAAAATTAGGACAATAAGAGACAATAAAAAGCAAAGAATTACAGACATCTGGGTGTCTGGCATTCTGCCAAAAAGCACACTTTGCTGACAAAGGATTACTCCTGAAAAGCCTCTGCCTATTGCATATTCATATATCTCACACGAGTCAAACATGAATCATACATGATTCATGTATATCTCATACATGATTCCTTTCCAACTAGGGTGTTTCTGCTTAATTTTGGCTTCCCCCCCATCTTGTAAATCAGTCTTCTTGGTTTCTTGCAGCTTGAGCTTTAGCAATAAGGAGGCAATAATTCTTCTCTTGGAATCTTCCTGTCTAGTTGCTGTTATGTCTATCCAGATAGGATAATGTGAAGAATTTTTTTGTTATCTTTCCCATTCCTTGTGCTAGTTACAAAAAATATCTTACGTCACATAGTTTTGTTATAGGTAAAAATTGATCCAGCCAATTAGATCAAAAATAAAAAAAATTTTATTCGTGACCGATACACAGTCCCAACTGCCAACAATCAAAAAGCAGCGCCGAGCCCGGGATCGGAGCAGGTGAACGATGATCCAGCCTCTATCGCAGCGGATCCCCCTGTTCACCACCGAGACCCGGCAGAGTTCAGGTTTTACACTCTTTTTCTTGCCTGCAGCAGAGTCCCTGTGTCCCCTCCTGGAGTCCTTCACGTTCACGCAGTGTCTGTTCTCTGTCCTGCGCTGGACAAAGCCTCGTCCGGGAATTGATGGGTATTATAAATGAAAATTGCGAGTCAGCCAATTTTAATAAAAATATGAAAAATAAAATTTATTTCGCGACCGTAGTAACAGTCCGATAGCCACCACCAAAAACGGACAGCGTATCACCCCGGGCAGTGATGCGGGTGAACGTGGAACCTGTCTTCGCTAAGACCAGATTCTCCCCGTCCACACACACTGCTTCGAAGACACAGTTTTTATACTGTTTAATTTGCCCGCGGCTAGTAGTCCTTTGTCTCTTTCTAAGTTTCACATATTCAAGTTGGTTTCTTTTCTCTGTCCAAGCTGCACAAAAACCTCGGCCGAGCGGAATCGCTGTCTTCCCGTGTTCCCGTAACCCAGGCATTCATGTCCAAGGTGCCAATGGCCCTCCAGATAGGCATCGCCCAGATTTCCCGGACCCGGGCATTCAGGGTTCGGGTGTTAATGGTCCCTTGATAGGCATCTTATCTGGCGCCAGCCTTTGGGCGTAGGGACATTGGCCACTTCCCGTCTTGGCAGCTACCCCCTCCTTCTCATGCAAATGTCCATCTGCCGCGGTTTTGCCGTGTGTCTCCAGGCTGGATTTCTTAACCTGAATGGAATGAGAGGGGAAACCCCCTTCCCCTCTTCCCTTCCCCGGGTTATTTCATTTATATTATTTAATACACCATTTATTCCCATGAATTACTACCCGTATTTCTAACAATGGGTGTCCCGGCATCCTTCACTCAGATGTGTGTCCTTGATGGTCCCGTCTGTCTGGGGTGGACATCTCCATGGGCCATCACCGCTGGGGTTCTCTCGTTCATGCCATCGGGAGTGCCCATCTCCTGTGCGGGCTGGGTTTTCTCTGTATGTTAATGATGCACCTCCTCCTCGGCTGCGAGCTGTCCTGTGCGGCAATCACCCTCTCCCCTCGGCTGGCATGATCTTAAAGCTTTATTTTACATTACATTAATAATCTTACATTTCCAGCGCGAATTACCCCCTAATTCATAACTGTTTCTATTTGAATATTATGCTATAGCCTAAAAACAATATTTACCATACTACTTAAAATAAATTAATACAGCACTACTTAAAAGAGATTAATACAGTGTAACTTTCCAAGATAACACATATAGTATTCATTTTAATATTTGTGAAGAGCCCATCATATAATATGCATTTTTCACAGTAAATAATCATTGCTGTGGAAGTTATCATTCCTGTCACGGGTTTCCGGGATCCCGGCATGTTCCTGGCACGCGAACAGCAGAAGGACAGGAGTGTAAAAGCAGCCGGCCGTGCCCCGGGGAACAAGGGGCGGGACCGGGGGCGCGCCGATGCCGGGAGCGCGCACGCCGATGGTTCCCGGGAAGGATCGCGCCCCCCGGAGCCCCCGGTACCTGCAGGGAGCGGACGGTGAGCAGCAGGTGCAGCCGCCCCCCTCGCACCACGAGCGGCAGCAGCACGGCGGCTCTGGGCAGCGGCAAGCGGGAGAACCTGTCCCCGACATCGAACTCCCTCAGGCGGCGCCGGGCCTTCTCCAGGGCCCCGCGCCTCGGGGCGGGCAGAGCGGAGCACCGGCACCCTCCGGCCGTGCCCCGCTCCTGCCCCGCGGCCCCCGAGCAGGGACCGGGAGCGGGGCCCGGCTGCTCCCGCTCCGCCGCCATGGCCGGCACCGCCCCCGGCTCCGCCCCGCCCGGCCCCGACACAGCTCCGCCAGCCAGCGCTCCGTGCTTCCCTTTCCCTTTTCCCTGTGCCCCTCTGGCCGTGTCCCCGCGCCGGGGGCCGCTCGCTCCCTGGCCCCCGCGGGGCCGCGCTGCCCCAGACACGCGGCGGCTCCATCGAGTCCTGCCGAGCTCCGGCACCGCAGCGGCTCGCAGTGCGACAAGGACCGTGAAAGGGCTGCAGTCGTGCCCAGTCACAGAACCATAGAACGTGGAAGGGACCTTAAAGATCACCTATTCCACCTCCACGGTGTTAGAAATGCACTAACTTTTAGGTACAATTCAATGGGGACAAACGGTCGAAGCAAAAGAAAACTGCTTATTAGTAACGATTCAGCTGAGCCGGTGTGTGCCTCCCTTGCCCAAGAGACCAACATACCCACCACACGAGGAAGTGGCTTCTTTTTATACCTTTTCCTGGCCGGGGCGGTCCCTGTCCCCTTTGCCATTGGATGGGTACTCAGGAACTTCCATTCTCTCCCGACCACCAACTTTTCACAGAATCACAGAATGAATTCAGTTGGAAAAGACTTTTAAGATCATCTAGTCCAACCCATGACCTAACTAACACCTCCTCATCAATTAAACCATGGCACTGAGTGCCACATCCAGTCTTTTTTTAAACATGTCCAGGGTTGGCGACTCCACCCTGGGCAGACGATTTCACCTGCAGTCACTCTCAATGAAGAATTTTTGTCTAACATCTAACCTAAACTTCCCCTGGCGCAGCTTAAGACTGCCCTCTCATTCTGTCACTTGTTGCCTGGGAGCAGACCGAGCCCCACCTGACTACAACCACCTTTTAGGTAGAAAGTGATAAAGTCTCCCCCAAGTCTCCTTTTCTCCAGGCTGAGCACCCCCAGCTCCCTCAGTCATTCCTCACAGGGTTTGTGTTCCCAGCCCCTCTCCAGCCTCGTTGCCTCCTCTGGATTGCTCAAGCATCCCAAGGTCCTTCCCAAAGTGAGGGGCCAGAACTGGGCACAGCACTCCGAGGGATTGCAGCCCACAGGGGAGCAAAAGGCTCTCTGGTGGCAAACACAGAGGGCAGGCCAGTTCTGCCCTTGAATGTTCACTATTAAATCATCTTTTGAAGATTAACTTTTAAGGGTCGATTCCTTGTACCACTGTCCAAGTTATCACTGGGGAGGAGCGGCATGAGACTGACCACTCCTTTTCTGCAGTCCTGGTAACTGTTTCAGTTGTTAAAAGTACCTGAAAGGGACCTTCCATGCTGCTGTTAAGGTATGATCTTTCCAAGATTTTATTTGAACCAAATTTCCTGGTTTTACCTGGTGTATGTGAAAGTCTAGAGGTGATGTTTGGGTAACAAGTCTTTTCTGCTAAGATCCGTGAGAGAAAGTGTAATTGCCTGCATATAATTTCTGAGATGTAAGTCATTAGTTTCAGCCATTGGCAACCCCTCCTCCCTTCCCAGATAAGGTAATCTAAGTAACATTTCATAGCGAGAAACTCCTGTGCCCTTTCTTGGAGAAGTTCTGATCCCTAATAATGCTGATCTGGTTTCAGTCATTAATTTGGTAATGTGGTTCTTAAGGATAGCATTCATTCTCTCCACACATCCAGAGCTTTGAAGGTGCCACAGGATATGGAATTTCCAATTTATGTCTAATACAACACATAGAATGTAAAATTTTTTAAGTAAAGTGTGTGCCCTTATCTGAGTCCACTCTTTCAGTTATCCCACATCTGGGGATGATTTGTTCTAATAGCATCTTAGCCACTTTGGAGCTAGTTGCAGTTGAGATAGGAAAGGCTTCTACCCAGTGAACGAGGTGATCAGCTGTTCCAAGATGGTATTTCCATCTCTGTATTTTGGGGAACTCAGTGTAATCCATTTGCATATTTTGAAAGGGTCTAAGGGCTAGGGCTCTTCCCTCACTAGGGTGTTTTCTCATCACTTATTTATCTTTTAACAACTCAAACATTGTCCAGTCACTATTTGGCTACTGTATCGACTCCCTCACAGCACTAAGTTCTTCAGAATTGATCACACAGTCAATGTGATCAACGTGTCAGAGCTCGGTCCTTAAGCTCTCCAGTGTATTCCTTGGTGCAGCTTAATTAAAATTTCTCTAGTAATTGCTTTGTTCATTATTTGCCTCCCTTTACTGCCTGGCTGTGATCGGAACTTCACCAAAGGGAAAGTACCTGCAGCCGAGGGAGGGCTGTGTTTGGGTTTCTGGTTCTGTTTGTTGTTGCTGCCAGGGTTGTTGTTTGTTTGTCTTGTTATGCATACTGGCAAAGAATGTTACTCCTTTTCCCATATTGTTGCCTGAAAGCCTCTTAATTTCAAAGTTATAGTAATTTGCAGGGAAAGGAGTCACATTCTCCATTCCAGAGAGGTCCTGCAGACACCTGTCTTTCAAAGCAAGACAAGCTGAAGATTAACAATTTATTAACAATTGTTTATTAACAATTGACAATTAATTGACAATTATGAGTTTGTTTTCCATCTAATAAACAGTTAATTAATGTAGGTAGTTAAAAGGTAAGCTAGAGGTGTTCACTGAAGCTTGGAAGGGTAGCTGCGGAGGGCTCTGGTGAAGGGTGCGAGACCATCATCCGCAGAAGGCACGATGTTGCTGGCTTATGCAGGAGGCTCCAGCTGACACACACACTGTCCCTCGGATGCTAGTTTCCAGAGCACCTCCTTCTCGAGTCCCTGGCCTTTCTCTGTCTGCTCTAATGCAGAGCGTCTCTGTTTAGCAAGACTCTTCCGCTCCAGGGCTCTGCCTTTCACAGTCACCTGCCCTATCTTCTGAGCCAGCTCCAGGTTAGGAAACCTAGGAAGAAAGGGACTGGTCAGACAAACATTCCCAGCCAGTTGTTCTGCAACATGCAGAGCACACAGTGTTGCATCCTCTCTCTGTGCATGCAGCGAGCAGCAAATTAAATAACGGCACTCACTGCGCAGAGGCTGCAGAGGTGCAAGGGCAGGAACGTGACCAGTTAAATGCCTGGGGACCAATTACAGCACACAGGGCTCCATGTAGAGAAGCAGGCCTTGCTTGTCCCAAAAGGAAGCAGAGCTAGGGACTGGCTGGTTCCCAGATCTCTCGTTCCAGATTTGCAACCCTCCAGGAGCTTGATGTTTCACACAGTGTCTTCTCCCAGTGTCTCCCTACCAAGGCCAGATGATGATCTTTCTGTGCTCCTGTGGGTGTTTCTGTTGCCTCTCTGGGGCTGCCTGACTCCAGGCCCACCTCCCCATCCCAGTCAGGGGGACTGACAGGAGGATGTTAGGGGATGAACCAGGCTGTGCTTGGTGATGCCCAGCAACAGGACAAGAGGCAATGAGCAGAACCTGAACTGGAAATTCCACCTGAACCTGAGGAAGAACTTATTTCCTGTGCAGGTGCTAAGTTGCCCAGAGAGGGTAACCCTAATAATTCCCTCACTGGAATTATTCCACAGCCCTCTGGACACAGCCCCTGTGCCATGTGCTCTGGCATGACGCCGCTTGAGCAGGGAAGTGGGACCAGGTGACCTACTGTGATCCCTTCCACCCTGTCCCACCCTGTGACCACCCAGTGATACCCGTCAGAAGCGTGAGTTGGCAAGTGCTCGATGTTTCCCACCTGCACAGCAGGGTGGTCTTAAACATCCCCGCGCGCTTCGGGGAGAACCGCACGTGAAAGGTCTGCTTCTGGCCAGGAGCAAGGATGCCGTGGTAGGGCTTGATGGAGAACAGTGGCAGGTCAGGGATGACATCTGGGAAGATTTCCAGGCAGGAACCATCACACTTTGAGCGGCGTAGCTTCTTGGAATGGTCCTGCTGCTCAGGCTGCTGCGGCTGCTTGGAATCCTGCTGCTGCTTGGCAAGCTGCTGCAGCTGCCCCAGCTCAGAAGAATGAGTTTCAAAAGGATGCTCCTGCTGCAATCCAAAACGATGCAGCAGCTTTCTGTAATGCCTTAAAGTTTCAGAGGAGAGGAACTGACCTGCAGAGAGGAAGAGGACACCTTTCAAAGACAAAATCCTTGTGTTCCCAGCAACTCTGCCTCCTGCACAGGTTGGTGGAAGAGAGCTGGGATGCACTTGGAGCATCACTGGCCAAGTACTTTTAGCTGGAAATAGAGCATCTGGGAGCAGGGTCTCTGCCTGCAGCACAAACTCCTGTGCCAAAGCAGGAGAGTTGGTTTGAGATGGCGACTTTGCATTTGCCCTGGAGTAGGGAACTGCACACAAGACAGTGGCTTGTTTGCAGTTCCCCACTCCAGCTCACTTGTTACACCACTGTTTTTCCCAGTCTCAGACTTCTCAAGAGGTGACCTGATGTCCCCATTCCCAGTCCTGACCCAGCACGTGGCTCTCCCCAGAGCCTGGCTCAGCTCCTTTGCAGAGCAGCAGTGGCAGAGCAAGAAGAGAAGGGGCTGAACAGCAGATGCAGGCAAGGAGCAAACTTTCCAGCTGCAGCTGGGAAGATGCTGATGGAAGTGGACGTGTGGACAAGGATGGAAAAGCAATTCATGTTTTGGAGAGAAGTGGCAGGGTCTTCTCCCCAGGCCCTCAGCTACCAAGTGAAATGCCCTTACTTGTCAGAGCAGTTGATTGTGGCATCTTCACTGCTTCACTCGCTGCAGCTTCCTCCCAGTAGTATTCCAGGGCTACCTTCCCTGTGTTGCATAGCTTTAAACTGAAAGGCGAGAAAGAGGAATAACAAAAAATGTCCAATAAATATAAAGCAAATAGTACAGTAATATTGTCTGATAGACTCCTGGTACCACTTTCTCCTGAGGAACACCTTCTTCCCCAGGCAACCCTGCCATGCTCAGACTGCTGTCCTGGCTGGCCCAAAAAAGTATTTCAAGTCTGGAAGTTTAAGAGGAAAGGGCCAACATGGTGCCCAGGACATTGAAGCTAAGGGGCTTACTCTGGACTTTAGGTCTTGGTTTCACTGCAAACTTATTCTTGAGCAGGTGAGGAAAGGTGACATGCAG